GGGGGGGGGGAAGAAGGAGAAAAAGAGTAGAAGAAGATCCTTCCTGAGATGAACAGGAATTTATTCGTTATATGAAATAGTTATTGGCGCGTATTCCCTGGTTATCCTAAAACTAAATGCTGTGGACAGCTATTAATATCCCTGGAGTGGAATCTGTTCCTTCTGTCTATCCAGCATCCATACCCCTCTCTTCTGGGGACAGAATCTCAACTTTCCTTTGGGCAGGGGGCATACGTCGGGCCGATGAGGGTCAGGCTCACACCCAGGCCGCAGTAACCACCCAACAAGGTTGTCTCCTTGTACTGGGGTTATCATGCTGTGGAATGTAAACGTAGAGCCGCTGGGGGTCATTCTGGGGAAGAGACAGTCAGACAGTGGTACCACCACGGCACGAGCAGAGCTGACAGACGAATTAGCCCAGATTTCTGTTACCATTGTGTCAACACCCAGGTGCAGTGATCTCTGAGTTTTTCAGTGATATAAGCTAAGAAGTGTTTCTTTTTTAAAAGCTTAAGTCTGTTTGAGTGGAATTTCCATCACGTGCAACCAAAGAGTCTTTCCTGGTGACAATAAGAAATACAAAGGCTATCCCAGCGGAGGGGAAGGTGAAAGCCTAGGGTACAGCCCGTGTTCCACAGCGGGGGGCCGTTTCAGAGGCTAATGGAAACACTCCAGAACCTACAGAATGAGGCAAAACAGGGTCCTGGTCTGACACCCCAGCCCAGGTCGCGCTGCACTTCAGGGCGACCCGTTCCCAGCTCTTCACCTGCCCTCTCTCTGATCTTAGCAACTTCACCATCAGAGCGAGTTCTGGGATAGGAATGGGCAACGGCTGAGCCCGAGGGAGGTTAACTTTGCAGGCGAAGGAAGAGTTGGAGAAGTCTTCATAAGCCAAGGCCGGCCATGCACTGCTGATCCTTTGCTCGGAAAGCTTCCCCAGTGAGGGCAGGATCTAGTGTCGTGGTTTCCAAAGTGTCTACACGCTCCATTAGGAGATGTTATGGACAATTACCGGTCCAGCGACCATTCGTTTGTCACTTCCACCAGGTGACTTAAAAATCTTCTATTCCACTGCGTGCCTTTGTCCAGATGATCTTCCCTAACAACCTCTGTTTGATACCTGGAGCTAGATTTGAGAAGCATGTTGGGGAGGAGCCTGGTTGACTCCATTAAGAGTTGGGATCTTTGTCAGGGCCTGTACTGTAGGTAAAACACTGCCCTTAGTTCTGAAAGGCTGGTGGCCTTACACGCATGACAAGTGTTTGAGCCTTAAAGAAACCGGGTCCAACCAAACAGGAGAGTCACCTCCCACGACACCACCATGTGGGTGTCAGGGGAGTGGCTAAAGATAGATTCCTGCAACCCATTTTATTGGTAGTCTCTTCCTTCCGGGCCTCCTGAAGAATTCTCTCATAAGACTGCTGTCTCATGCATTTTAGAGACATAAAGGGGCAGTCGGGCTCTGTGGGCAAAGACGAACACCTGTTTCGTGAGATCTAGATTTTGAGGATCCGTAGGCTTAGGCAGCAGATGGGTCAAGCCGGATTTGGTAAAGAAAAGTACGTTTTAGAGGGAAAGGAGGATGCTTGATCTAAGAAAAAAATGCCACTATCTACCCAAATGTGTTGTCCTTTCTAAAAAAAAAATTAGGTTTACTTATTTATTTTGAGAGAGACAGAGACAGCGTGCATGGGGGAGGGGCAGGGGGGGGTGGAGAGAGAGAAGCCCAAGCAGGCTCCACGCTGCCAGCGCAGAGCCTGACACGGGGCTCGAACCCACGAACTGTGAGATCATGACCTGAGCTGACACCAAAAGTTGGACGCTTCACTGATTGAGTGACACCGGGCGCCCCTCTAAAAATTTTTTCATGTATCTTCCTTCTTTAGTTCCGGGGATACTAAGCAATCTTCTTTGTTCTTGTGTCGTATAATGTTGCACAGGCTGAACTAGTAGCTATTTGTATGACATGCGGGCCAGGGCCAAATCAGCCTCGTCATCTGCTCTCCTTCCTCAGTCACTTAGCTACTTTCTGGCTAATTCATCGTCTGACCAACAGACTTTGAACAACGGATCTATAGCAGCACGAGTGAGCACACGTCTTGACATTTCAGGTACGGTTCTTATTTTAAACGTTCTGCTGTACTGACCTCACATCATGATACCGACAGCCCACGTACTGGCCAGCTTATGTGTCTTGACTCGTCTCTATTCAGGTAGTCCCCGCTTCAGTTCAAACAACCGTGTAGCTTAGGTTATAAGGCACCCGGGTTAAGATCTCCGGGTATAATACAGCTGGCATTGAGCTACCTTCTCCCAAGATCAACAAAATTAGGTTAGGGACAGGAATACAAATTATAGGAGATAAGTAAAGAATGCACAAGAGGTCTTCTGTCGGCTCAGGTTTCTCCTTGGAGAGGGAAGCCTAGAGATAGCATGGTTTCATGCTAATGAGAATAAACAAAGGGGGAACAGGCCAATTCGCGGCTGATACATTTTGAAGCAAGGGAGAAGCCTCCTTGGCTGATAACCACACTAAAGAGTTGATTAGCCCCTAAATTACTCTGCCATGTCTCTGCAGACCCAGCCCTGCCAGTTGCTTCCCTCGGAGAGAGTCCGTAACCTCCTCGGTGCAATCTCCTTTTAGAAGACAAAACCTGGAATATACGATCAAGGAGGGAGAGAAGGTCTCTCCTCCCTCCCCAGGCAACAGAAAACAATGGGGCAGGGGCTTCTTGGGGAAAAGCAGGGAGGCAAGCTGCCATCTGGGCTGCGGTGGGAGAGGATTAAGGCTGCCATTCCTACAAAGCGCACGGTTAAGGGGGATCGAGGCGACAAGGTATCATTAGGCAGAAAAGGCTCTGAGGGCTAAGGACCACCATATCTATCAGGAGCAAAAGGAAAAGAGGCTTGGGCTTAAAATTGTGGCTCAAATTTCTAGATGGTCCAGGTTAAAAAAAATAGGGAAACCTGAAGAGTCTGCTAGCAACTAAGGGGAGAATGGCCGCCGTTGTCAGGAAGACGAGGCACAAACAACATTTGTTTGAGAATGGCGGTAGGCACAAGCTAGTGTGTGCGTGTGTGTGTGTGTGTGTGCATGCTGTGCCTGTGTGGGTGCATGTGTGTGTGTGTGTGTGTGTGTCCACATGTCTGCGTGCATGTGCACGTGTGCTTGTGTGTGAATGTCTGTGCACGTGCCTGTGTTTGAGCATGTGCGTGGATGTCCACATGCCTGTGTGTGTATGTGTGTGCATGTGCGTGATGGGGAGGTTGAGGGTTGGTCCTGGTCACTCTGCTTCCTGGAGAACAGTAGTGAGGTCCACTCTATGCAGGAAAGAAAAGACTGTGAAATCTTCCCTGACAACCTCCTATGAATTTCAACGAGGCCAGAGAAGACTGAGTAACAGCGGCTGCTACTTACGACTTACTACGTGTCTGCAGCATGCTAAGTACCTTGCATCCAGGCTCTCCCTCAGTCCTTGACCAAACTCTATTGTTGCTATTTTACAGATGAAGCAATTGTCAAGTCTCATAGGCACCGGGCAGAGTGAAGATCTGTCTCCTAAACCTGCACCTTTCCCCACACTCTACTGCTCACGTGGACATTCCCTAAAGAGCAGGTGGAACGAAGGAGCGGGTAGGCAACCATCCTCACTCACAGAGCAAGGGACCGCGGAGCCCCCGATAGGAACCGAATCCCTCCGAAAACTCAGTCCTAAAGCTACGCCCAAACTCAGCAGCTGTCAGGTGCACCTGCTTTCCCGCCGGAGAAGTAATCCCCAGCTCTCCCTCCTTATCCTCCCGAAATTGGAAGACAGCAGCACGGAGGACGGAAGGATGGGCGCCACAGGGGAAAGAATGATTTCTTAACCAAGGGCCTACACTGGGTGGACTATCGCGATTCTCTAGCCGGCTGTGGCGTTTAGGATGAAAAGACGCCGAGAACGCAGCTTCAGGGAGATTGTTTTCTTTCCTTCCTATTTGACTTTTCTCCACCCCCGCCTTTCATCCAAAGAGCTTGCGAAGTGCCCCGCGTGTTTTGGAACGTTTAGTTATTAAAACACTGCCTGCGCTGTGGTGAGGAGAGTTGTCACCTGGAGGGGAGGCAAAGCAATGGAGAACAACGGACTTTATACAGTAAGCAGCGTGGTTCCCTTGCCTTTTCCCTGGATGAGAATCAGCTTGCATTTGTTTCAGAGAAATCAGCAAAATCACTCTATCGGCGCGCCTATGGTTTTCAGTCCACGTCACGTACGGGGATCGGATTTTTTTGGCACCCAGGTAACTGTGTAACTTACGGACCCGCGCTCTGGCACGCGCTTGTTTTCACGCTCGGCATCTCTTACCTCCTTCGTTGTCCTTACTGTCTGTGCAGAGAGTCTCCATGGCCACATCACATCCCGCTCCTCTCCACCCTGGCTGGCAGACACAATGCCAGCCGTTTTGGTCCAGCGTGCATCTCCCATTACTGTTGCACAGACCAGGACAACCCTCTGTCAAAGGAGACAAAGAAGGAAAACACAAGCGATTTGAGGATTGAAAGTTTTCGCACCTAAAATAAACAGATAAGGGACACTTAGTGGGAACAGGCCTTTGTAAACAGCACAAATACTGTAATTGCACATGGATAGAAACAGCAACAGTCTCTAAGGAATCTAATTCTTATCCAAGTGGCATCTTTGATTGGCCTGACCCTTGAGACACCACTTACCTGCGCAGGACAGAAATATATGCGACAATCCGCTAACTAGCTGCAGGCCAGACAAAATTAACTTAAATTTTTTTTTTTTTTCCTTTGGCAAAGCAGCAAGGTTGATTGTATGGTGTGAAAAAGCACCTCGACAAGGTAATTTCAGAATCCCTGGCATAGATTTTCGATCTCTTGTAAACGGTAGCGGTCACTCATCAGGACGTGCCTTCTTAAATCACCTCGTTGCTTTAAAAAATTCCCTCTAAATTCAAAAGCATGGAAGCCGGTACGAGGATGCGAACGATGTTAACAAGAGAACGTTAATTTTATCTGGCCTCAGAGTTGCCGTACCTTCATGTGAAATTACAGTGCATTAAATAAGTGCACAAAGTATAGGCCAGGATTGATGACTATACTTTATGCCAAGAGTACATTCCTTTTCACAGAATAAGCAAAGCCCAGGAAATAGTGAAGCAGCTTTAGCGTCTATTCTAACAAACATCAGGATTCAGGCTGCATACGGATGGGACAGGACCGACAGGATTTCCAACTAAATGTAATAGCTGTGCATATTTGATTACTTAGGACGGACAAAATGAAATACCATAAGGACCACAATAAAACATTGAGAGACTGAACAAAAACACGGTAGTGACGTGCTTCAAGACAGATAGCGAAGAGTGATATTTTGTGACAATCTCCCTAAGGCTTTTATGCTGTTACCTTTATATCCTATCTTGTCTGCTTTTATGGGCAAGGAGGGAAAATTTGGGAAACAATTAAAATAATTTAATATATCCAAAATCTATAATTGTTTCAGTCTAACATGACATTAAAAAAAAACAATTTTTGCCACTTCCTACTGATGATATCTGGCAGCCAAATGATCTGTTTATGAGGATGACACTTAGGTAAATTCTGGTCTCTGGTGTTCTGGTCTATGAGTGTGATGGGACACTGACAGAAACAAGGATAGAAATGCTCCAAAATTATAAGAATAATGGGCTATTAATCAGAACTCTTTGGAGTGAATTATTTATAATTTGGGGCAAAATACATATTGGCCCAAAGTGCTTGCTATAGCCACTGGGGTTTGTTACCCGGCTTCTTATAATTAGAATGCTACTCTTGTCTCGGTGACGAAATTTAAGGGAACGATCTGTTTAAAGATGTTTGTTTTATGTCTGTATTAAAAGAATTATTCATATATCGGTTTCCCCTCCTCCACTGTGGCACTTGAAATGAAAATATCTCCAAGAGACAGTCTGTCTCTTAAGATTAGAGCTAATAGACAGAAGAGTGTTCTGACAGTCTCTTGTGGCAAAATGAAATTATACTTATGGATACCATCAGGTCAGGATAGGATTAATTCTGCTGCTTCTTTTCTTTCAGACCATTACCATCTGCATTTATGGATTTTCAATACCTAAAAGGTGAATTTTCCTTCCAAACGTTTTTGTTTTGTTTTTAACGAAAAAGAAAGATTTAATCGTCCCACTGACAGGTGCCGCAGCTGACTGCACGCACCCAAGAGTTATTATATGAAAGCCTGGATATTGCCATGAATATTGTCATATTCTAATGAAAAGCACAAACAAGGAATAGAAAATAGGTAATCTGAGGAGAAAGGGGGAGGGAGTTTTCTCTTCTGAAAAAATATTTTCCACCTATTTCTACGAGAACTGAAGAGACGAGAATCTGCTGTTTTCTGCTGAGCCATGTTATCATTTCTGTTTTACGGAATGCACGGTAATTTTGTTGTTTCTCAGAAAAGAACAGAACATAAATTATGATATCACATATATTTTGAAACATTTAGAAGAAGCCAAAGAAGTTTCCATATAAGGATAAATGAGATTGCTCTCAACATATATTATCCAGAATCTTCTTTAGATTGACAATTTCTTATTCTGTGATAAGACAGTAAGCGTTTGTGATTCTTCAAGGCAGAATTTAAGGCTCGTTAGCTGAACTGCCAACAGCGAAGCTCTTAAGGCAAAGAAAAAAAAAAAAAGAAAGAAAGAAGCATAAACAAAAAACAGCAAATATACTGTTATCTTCAGTTTTTGGTTCCAGTGAAAACTAATGCTCTTACATAGGGATGAAATCTGTGATAACCCAAAATTATAAAAATGAGACACAGACACCGAAGTCTCAGTCCTTTAAATCCAAGGCATTTCACATAATGTAAGCCTCATTTATAATTTACAAAAATATGCATGAGAAACAGTCTAATTTCATACCTAGTATGATCTGATACACAGTTATATATAGATATATATGGAGATATGTCAACAAAGAGCAAGTATACAGTACCTTTAACTATCTTATCCAAATAGTGAGCTTGAGAAATTAAAAAGGAAAAAAAAGAACAGACAGACATTTCAGAAGTGTCACATGGGACAAGGAAATTTTCAGAATTTACATGCAAATTGAGTAGCTGCAGCCGACATAAGATTCACATCACACGACAGAGATGTACTTCATTATCTTCTAACACTGCAATATATCCACGTTTCAGCTCATGTGGTCATGATTCCAGGAAATACTCCGCATGTGCAAGGACAGTATGCAGGTAACACTACCTTTCTCAGATGCGCTGGAATGCCCCCACCCTGCTCCGTCTTGAGATTATCCTTTAATGGCTAAGTAGAACAAATGGAATTAATTCTTTGTACTTACGAAATTGGGAAATTTACAACAACGAGGGCTCTTTTCACTAAAGAAGATGGGAAATTTACAACTATGAGGGCCACAAAGAAACTTTTAGGGGGGGTAGAAAATAATTCTAACGTTTGCAAGTTCGTTTTTAGCAAAGTAGTTTCGTAAGGGTTGCACAATGAAGGGCAAAAAGGACCACACGGGAGCCCTGGAGGAACCATTTACGCGTGTTCTGATGCTGTCTTTCTTCAACCTGAGAGATGACCCCACAGAAATCGTGCTTCCCTCACCTTCTGTCTCGAATGGCTTGTGGATTTACATATTATCAAACTTCCGCGTTGAATAAACAAAAAAGGGAGGTTATTTTGAATCCTTAAGCACATGGAGCAAACTTACTATACTATGAAAAAGGCACGTGTACACTGTGCAGAGAATGATTACCCAGCAGCCCTTGACCACACAGCGGATGGGCAGTGACGCATCGCATACGTGGTCAGTCCGTGAGGAAATACAGACTGTTCCAAGGTCCTGTTTCTTTTCAGGATCCAGCCTGGAATAAGCTGTTTCTCACAACCGCTCTGTAGAAACAGTCAGGATTAAGACTGGAGTCTTTCACTGGACCTGTCCATTTAATCTTTCATGAGGTTACAATGAGGCTACACCTTTTCTCTTGAACAGAGGCAGAAATACCTCTCTCGGGCTTCACCAGCAGAGAGACGTAATATATTCTTAATAAGCCTGAAATCTGCCTGCTTTGTCAAAATTCATACATCTTTAATGATCTAAAATTGCTTTTCAAAGATGCTTCTGTTGATTATTTTTCGTTACTGACACATGCAAGTGAAAACCGAACTCCTAACAGAATGATTTAAGCTCTAACAGGTTTGGTAGTTCTGTCGTGTGCAGAAACAAAACCGTAAGCGCTTCTGACACATGTGTGCCCGTCAATGTAAAAGGATTCTTCATGTTGCCACAGGACTCCATTAGAGGCTTCTGAATTGCATTTAAAAATACGTGTGTTCATAACTAATTGACAACATACTGCAGGGGAAATTAAGGTGAGGCAACACTCTCGGGTACTACTCGGAAATTATAACTTAATAAAACAATTCTATTTTCAAACGTTGAAACAAAAACGTACCATTGGATAACATCATTCGTGTAATTTCTCAATAATCCCTTCCGAACACTATATAATCTAGGAGAGCCTCATAATAGCTCCACTGATGATCTAAACAGAAACAAAGTGCCTTTAAAAATTCTGGAGTTTCTGGTTCAGATAGGGTAGTACTTTTGGAGGAATTCTGAATTTATAAAAAGTCATCACGCGGATCTAGCTGGAGAGCCGTTTGCTTTTACATTGGGTCCACTTCAGTTAATGCAACCAAAATAAGGAACGTAATTAATTCTGATCTGGATTAGTAGTTTGAAAGGAGGAATGAATTATTTCTAATCCAGCCAATCCCATTATCTTAGCAAACAATCAATTACACAAAACAGTGGTTTGATTAAAAGTAACGGCAGGTTTCTCATCAGGTCAAGAGAACAACAAAAGTGGTGATGAAATCAGAAAATATGTTTAAAATGTATAGCAGGTTAAAATTCATATGCCACTTTAAATATGAAAAATGCTTAACATAAATAAATTTTGCAAACGGTTAAAACCCAACCAAAAGAATAATATCTGTACTGAGAAAGAGATACTAAGATTTGCCATTTGCATTTTATATCCTAGGGAATAACTGTGAGGCTGTTAGTTTAAAACTAATGGAGAAAAGGGGTAAAAACCACCACGTGTATTTTGTCCTCGAAGATTAACATTTCTGACCCTACCACAAAAGGCTCGTGCCGCAGAATAAAGATGTTAAAAGGAGATGTCGATAGATGGGGTTCAAATGATTATTAAAAATCATAATTGCAACAATAAAAACATCATTAGATAAGCCACGACAGGAAATAATCAGAAAAATACAGGCATGTTGTAAGAAGCCATTAGGAACAATAATCGTAAAAATAATACAGTATATTTAAAAATTAATATTCCTAACAGTTGCTGAAACGCACATTAAGTTGCAAAAAAATTGCTTTGAAAACGAATGAGTGTATTCTGACACCAAAACCAAGTCCTTCCTATTAGACCTA